CAGTTTAATAACAATCATCTAGTTCCTTTAAGAGTTTGCTAAGTCTGGAGAATCAAAATCGTACATCTTGTCACAGGTGTAACAAAGACCAATTCTAATGCAGAATTTCTCTGAAAAGTTTATTTCTTTTCTGTGTGAAAATGGGACATGGTTTTACTTAGGGCTGGATAAACAAGTTAACTTGCACGCTTGCGATACTTTTATGAAGCAAACAAAAAGAGGGATCTATTTTTTTCAAATGTTTTACCATAAAGCTGTGGTACTAAAAGTGTGTTGAACACAGAGAGAGGGAAGGTTTTGGGTTGTTGACCTCTGCTGTTGCAAGCCACCACAGGCTTTTTTATATTCCTTTTTATCAATTCTCATGCTCCATTTGAAAACAAGTGAGGTTTCTTGCCATCTCAACTCTTGTAAAACCATTCAAAATACACACTTAAGTTCCATCTTAACTTAAGTTCCATCTTAAATAAGCTCATGATGAATTGGTTTTGGGCCAATGCTAAGCCATTTTTGCTAAAATAATACAAGGTAGATCTAATACAAGGTAGATCTTTTCTGGAGACATGAATCCCATAGAATTTGTAGTCATGGCATCCATATAATCTCTTCTTCCCATTCCTCTAATCCTCCTTATAAGTCAGTTACTGCTTTTAAAAATCTTCTATTAGGACCCAAGCACAAATAGGAGAAGTATTAACATTCAACCTATAAGGGAAGAAATGTCTCCATTATTTGACTTACATGTTCTGAAGTATTTCACATATGGACAAATTAAATCTCTTGAAAGGGTTTAAAAGGAGCAGAAAGCTCTTTGGTTACATGTACCAATGTAACCAAAGTGCTGGTTGATGTAAAACAACAGATTGTTTTATTTAAGGGATAATTTGAAGGAACATCTGTAAATATTGGTCTATGGTCTTAGATGATTGAATTGAGCTTTGGGGACTCTAGAAGTTAAATGAAAGAAAAGGCATAAGAAGTGTAATGTTTCATCTTGGCTTGCAAGAGCCACATTTCAAAACGTTTTTGGACTTTACGAAATACAAGAAAGAGATTTTTTTGTATTATTTTAGACTTTTGCACTTGAGGTGATTTCTAATAACTTCAAAATATTTATAGTCAAATATTTAAGTTTGAAACCAGTGCACTTTTGAAAGTTTCTGAAAAGAAAAGTTCATTAGGACATCACTATTAAGAAGCAATATTTAATAGGTCATGCTAATTAAATGAGGATAGTACTGTTATGAATTACAAAAATAAAATAGGTCATGGAGTTCTAAAAGCAATCTATAATATATGCACCATGCACATTATTATTAATACATGCATCATTTGAATGTTTTAGAGACTGTTTCTAAATATACATACATATATATTCTAGTGTTTGATGTTGTTGCCTTTTTTAGATATTCAGAAGATTATTATCTTCACATAGTCACAAAACTGCGGAACTGCACCTGGATAAGGAGACCAGAAGAATCTGCAAAATTCAGGTAACTTTCATTGTCTCATTTAGAAAAACTGTTTACCCTAGATTCATCTAACAAGCCATAAATGTCAATCTTCCCTTTTGAAAATATAACTTTGTATTGCTTTAAGTCTGCATTCATAGCTATACATTTCTATTAATCTTTTGATGCTGGGCTCTTCTTTGTTTGAATTGAACAGTGCAGACTGAGTAGCATAAAAGAACTACACAAATGAAGTAATTTTACCTGTCTCCACTATAATGAATAGTTAACTAACGTAACTAGAATAGCTTAAAATATTCCTGACACAAAACCTACACTATTAAAAAAAAAAAATCGGTAACATGATTTTGTCCATCCGAACTGGCACTCTGGTAAAAGGCTGTGTAATGAAGCAGTATATTTCTTACCCCAAGACTATTGCTTCTATTACAGAAGTGCCCAAGGCACTCATTAGGTTTGACACTGCATGTCATGGCCCCTGAGCACATAAGCACGTGATTACATCTGTCCTTGTTCGGGATGGCACATAAGTACATGCTGAGTAGGGACAGCAATCCCTGAAAAGCTTCCACTCTCATTTGGAAATGCATCATGCTGGATTTAGAGAACAGCTTCACTGTGCCAACCCTATTTTCTCCAGGGGGAAATACTCTCTTGAATTACATTATTACATGGATCAGAATTAAGCATTCTGTCATGATCATTAAAAATAAATAAACTGACCTACCTTCCAACTCTTTGGAGTTAACTAACATTGAAAACTTAATACCCACATGCTCAGCATGATACCCTTGGCAGAAGTAGGTTTTGTTGGGGGTAAAGCTTTTCCTACAACATAAATTGCTTTGTTTGCTGTGTATCATAACTAACTAATGGTGTTTCCCAAAACTTAAGTAAGAGAATACACAGAGATAAGGTTTAAGAAACTTTCAATTAATTCAGGCAGTCTTTATCTGTGCACGGAGATATCGGAACATGATAAGGAGCTGTAGAAGCAGCACATTCTGTTTCAGAATAGGCAGGTGTCTTGTACAGAGTTGATAAGATGATAAGAGGTGAAACTGCTCTAATCTGCTCTTCACCCTGCTACATTTAGGACTTTTGTTTTCCCGTCTTTTTTTAAACTTCTCTTCCTTCCAAACAGACCAGCCACCACTTACCAGCAATTTGCCACTTTTGCTGCTGTGCTAGGTGTACAAGTCAGTGACAGAGTAACCACTCCTTGTTCCAGCTTGACTTCTTCGTTTATTGCTTCTGCAATCTCCCTTCAACTGGGCCAACTTTTTCTACATCTTCTAGGCCTATGGGAATCAAATATGACACCCTCTATCTAAACAGTCATATGAGACTGTTGGACTTTAAGTACAAGATGCTTACTGTTCCTCTTGCTGTCTGCCTTCCAGCAAGGAGCATGGGTCATAAGAAGTCAAGGTGGGTTATACAACCAATGATCAGGCTGGAAATACTCAAAAGTGAAAACTGTGGGGTGCACTAAGCCACCTAGAAAATGTGTACTTGAGGTAAATTGAGGTGAGCTTGCTAGCTTTAACTTAGCTCAAATATCAAGCAAAAAGAATCTTTTGAAACCCATGGTTCTGCTTTGATATCATCCAAAAATTCCGTTATATGACCAAGGACTGATACTTCAGTTTTGTGGCTTTACGAATGATTATTTTACAAAAGATGTGTGCTTTTGCATAAGTCTTTTTTTTTCTTCTTCTGTTTTCTCAAACTCCTCTTCTCTCTATTGTTTTCTGGAAAAAGAATATTAAAATTTTACAGTTGTCCTTGCTCCCAGACCATACTGGAGACTTTCAAGGCTCTTAACAGTCGGTCAATAGAGGCTTTAAAAAATAAAAATAAAAATAAAAAAAGAGAAAAACAAATTCAGTATAAAATTTACTAACTAAATCTGTATACACTTCGTGCTTACAACGCTCCCAAACTTATTTATCAGACTTAAGCATAAAAGCCTGGAACTAGCCTTGCAAGGACACTCTAGCTGAGAAATGATCATTGACAGAGCTCTATGGGGAACAAAGCTTCTAGAAATGTGGCGAAATAAATGAATTAATAATCTCTTGGCAGTGCATCTCTTCCTATTTCTAACTTTGCCTAGTATCAGTAATGCATAATAATTGTGTAATACAAATATTATTCAGTTCTAAAAATCTCATTAAGTAGGTAGATAAACACACCCATTTTGCAGAAGAGGAAATTAATCTCAGAGGGACTGTGCAG